CTAGCGAGATAGTCTGCCTCTTCATTTTCTGTAAGGCCTACGTGTGAAGGTACCCATTGTAAAACTATTGTGTAATTTTTTGTGGCTAGAGAGGAAAGTGACTCCAAGATAGTGTATGCTATCGGTGTGCCTCGACTATTCGAGGTACATCGAGCAATGTGTTGTAATGCACTCTTGGAATCCGTTAAAACGATGTATTTGCCCAATTGAAAGGATTGAACATAAGAAATTGCTTCTGATATTGCTATCAATTCTAACAACATTATGGAGACATTTAAATCAATACGTAGTTTCACTGAACTACCCACTTGCGGGTCATAAATAGCTAGACCGCCACAATTACTTTCCTTTGAACCGTCCGTATAAATTTTGTAATAACTTGAATACGTATTTTTAATAAAACTGTTACACAGTTATTGTAATGTCAAAGAATTATAACTTCTTAGCGTTACTTACGGCATCTATGTTAAACTTAATTATATTCGAAATATTCACATTGCTGACCCAGGTATCAAGTGTAAACATATCTAATTATGTACTAATATGTACAGCAGTATCTTTAAGGTGACTGTGAACTAAAATTAAAAGGGGCTTTTCTTTATTAGTGTGATAGTAATAATCATTATTAAAAACTACGATTTACAGAATTTCCACTAAGATCCATACACTTAAAACCTTTACTTCGGCTGGGTTTGAACACAGAACCCACTAAACAGGTAGGCCGATCGCCCAACTGCGTGACTTTATTTCAATTTAATTAATTTGAATTATATTAAGTCATTGCCTACCTACCTAATAACAATTTGCAAGTTTTATTATCCAGTAACATCTTACTTTTTATTAAGAATCCTGTTAATAAAATATAAAATGCCCGTGGTCTTCTATATTATATATTTGCCGATGATTTGATAATCCTCTCGTCATCGAGTGACGGACTGCAGGCGATGTTGAATGACCTGGTCAGAGAAAGTGGCAATGTGGGATTGGTCATGAACACATTAAAGACCAAGGCTATGACCAATGGCAAGGAAGAACCTATTCTGATCAATAATAACCTGATTGAATATGTTAATGAATACATCTATTTAGGCCAGATAATCTCTCCTATAAATCTAACCTCAAAAGAAATTGACAGACGCATTGGAAATGCCTGGAAACAATTTTGGAGCCTAAAAGAAATAATGAAAAATAACGACACTAACATAACCATCAAACGGAAACTCTTTGATACCAGCATACTACCAATACTCACTTATGGCTGCCAAACCTGGGCACTCACTAAAGCACACATTAAAAAGTTAGAAACATGCCAAAACTCCATGGAAAGGAGTATGATGGGGAAAAGACTATCCGATAGAATAAGAATCGAAACCATAAAGAAACACACGAAAACAAAAGATGTCACAATAATAATAAAAAAGTTAAAATGGAAATGGTCAGGCCATATAATTAGAAGAAAAGAGAAATGGTCGAAATCAATAATGAATTGGTTTACAGGTCATATGAAAAGGAAAAAAGGTAGACCATGTAGAAGATGGGAGAATGATATTAAAGCCGTAGCAGGAGGCATATGGACGAGCACTGCTAAGGATAGAGAAGAATGGGAAAGGTTGGAGGAGGCCTTTGCCAATAAGTGGCATACAGACAGGGTTGTCGATGTACAATAGTTAAGCATTGAGAGTGTAAATATATATAATATATAATCCAGTGTTAGATATAGATTAATCCAGATAGATACTGTAAATGAAATAATGTCTGAAATAAAGGCTATTATTATTATTAACATCTTACTTGGAACTAACTTGTTGACAAATTTGGTTTAGGGATGAATGGCAGGCAATGCAATTACCAAGTAAACCCATATCGCCAAATTTTTTCTGCCATATTTTGCAAAATGCATGTCAAGCCTTTTATTTTAAAAGGATGGCTATAAGAACAAAGAGAGGCCTTAGAAAAGATGGAAGGACTGTGTCAGGCATAATATGCGTAAGAAAGGAGGTTAATGTAAGAATAATCAAGATTTCGGTCCTCATCTCAACATTTGACCCACTGTAACAAATGGATGAATGACACTGGGGGACAAATTATATATGTATATATATATTGAATAAAATCCTCCCTCTTACATTTTTCTTTTTTATCTATGGTTTATAGCTTTTTAAGTGGTAGAGCCATGCTGCAGTTATATTAGTAGTATAGTTGTAGCATGAATGGGTTGACTCGACCAGGGAAGGATCACACTCTCACAGAATACCAGCGTAAAATAGTAGCTTAATGCTCCTGTGTTTCTTATGGTGAGTGAAGAGAACCGAAAATCATTTTTACTGGAAATGGGGCACATTCCATATTAGTTCTCATGGGTGACAACACATTAATTTTGATTGTTAATCAAGAACGGATGTAAATGTCTATGGGCCACAGCAGCAACTTACCATCCAGGTGGACTGTATGCTCGTTTATCACCCTATTAAAAAAATTGACACTTATTTCTTTCTTCTTCTTTTTATACTTAATTCTTCGTGAAATCTTGCCTTGCCTGCCAAGTGACAATTAAACCAAACACTCCTTACTATGGCAGAGTCCATATTTTACAGTACCTAAATGGTTTGCAAAAATAAAAGGAGAAAGGGAAGAAATAAACTCCACAATATACATTAGTGTCACACATGTTTGGATGGCTTCAACAAATTCATTAATTTTTGGTTGGGTGTGAGGTGTCACAACTTCCAGTCCATTCATCTTTTATTCTAATAAAGAGGCAAATAGTACATAGCGAAAAATATCACAGATTGATCGTAATAGCCAAGATATTATTTCATCATTTATTCCTTCTAGTAGTGAAATGCAAATGCCATCAGTGAGTGCATCCACAACTTTATCTGTTGCCAGAGCGGGGCCACTTTTTTAGGTGTAATATTTGACTAATTTCATGGTGGAGAAACTAATTTGTTTGATAATTGTGAGGTTAATATTAATTATATTTTATATTAATTAGATAAAGAATAAATAAACTAAACCACAGATATTCATAAAAGTAGAAAAATTAAAAACAAAGAGTGAGTTTGTGCATAAAATTAAAGAGCAATCCACTAAGGCATTATCTTGTATATATTTAATACACTGAACTGATACTAATAAAGTAATAGAAACTGATACAACTTTTATTTAAAACTAATTTCTTAATTAATTAACATTGTGTAACAGAAAATTTCACTACATCTAGTGAGCTGAAGATTATTATTAGCCCTACATTGAACAGGACTAATAAAGTTCTGTGAGACACAAAGTGTAGAGAAGTGGAGTGGTAGCTCAAATGGTTAGCGCTCTCTGTAAAGTCACATACGAGAGCAACCTGGGTTCGATCCCTGCCTGCACCAATGAATTTGTTAATTGCAATTTTAAGTGCTGATTTATCACATGCTCGGCGGTGAAAGAAAACATCGCGAGGAAACCTGCATGTTCGAGAAATAAAAAAATATTTCAAAGTCATGTAGTTCATCATGTAGTTAGTTCGCCAACACGCATTGGGGCAGCACAGCATAAGCAATAAAAAGAGACCTGTGCCCAGTAATGATATGTATATAGGCTGTAACCTTTTTAAACTCTGACTCACTCGGACAATTATGCAGGTTGTTCATCTGATCACCAGAATGGTCATTGAACTGTCTGAAACTGAATTTTAAATTCAAGTACTTTTACTTACTTACTACATACTTTACTTTTTGAGCTTCAGTTGCACAAGTTCAATCAACTTTATGAATGCACAATGCTCTGGTCAAAAATACAGGTGAATTGAGTATCTCCTACTTTTTTGAAGTCGGTTAAAATGTTAAAGATTTATTAAGTCAATTACAGAACTCCTTGAAATGATTTTTTATATTTAGGGGAATATTTGAACTGCTTTTATTTTATTACATATTTTTAAATCCCAGCTATGTTCTTGGGCTCTTTTGGGCTAAGTTTTAAGTTATGATGTTATAAATAACCCAAGTTACCTTCAGTTTTTAATTATTTACTTGTAATAAGTGTACTTTTAATATTTTTATGTATGTAATTGAACTAAATATAAATATAGTCAAAAGATTTTTAACTAAAATCTATAGTTAAATGTTATCCAGCCAGAATACACACAAGGAAATGGATTTGTGAATTATTATTCATTGTTGTCATCATTACAGTCCATCGCAAGTTCATCACAAAAACATGACAAGTAAAAAAAAAATACAATAATAAACCGCCTCAAGATAATTCACATAGCTACTTACTCCTGATATTTTTATTAAATGTGTATGTTTAGAACAAGGGCCACCTTAAAATAAAACATCCTATAAAGATAGATTGAAGCCATTATCAATAACCATCTCAAGCAGACAAATGTAAAGGTCAAATTCACATGATTGAAATCATTAAGCTGGTGGCAATGACCTATTTTACTGGTCACCTTATTGTCCCCATGATTTAAAATTACTTAAGGTCATAGGAACTTAATACATATAGACAATTATTTGCATGCAGTTTTGATTATGTTTATAAACACACTTAAACTTACCTAATCCATCTTTATTATATTATTATACCCATTTGTGTAACGAACTGTAATAAATTTAAAAGTCAACGGAATAATCACTTATCTAAAAATTTGATGTTGAAATCTATGTATCTTTACAACCCATATATATGTTTGTAAATGAAAACTTTAAGTATTTAACATTGTTATAAGAAATGTGGATGAATGACAATTATTTTAATGGTAATTAAGATAATTAAACTTTTTAAGATTACCATGATACTTAATAAACTGGTTATATTTTGCAGAAATAGAGAAACAACCAATATTTTATGTACTTTACCTAATATTCCATTATTTTAACAAAGCAAAAATTAAAAAAAGTAAATGAGGGATTGCCAATATTTTATGCTTAAAGCGTCCCATTTCGCATTATTTGCTATTTTTTTAACAAATTCTACAACTGTATTTTTAAATTAAATGTTACACATACATGAATGAGCTAGCCTCCTTCCCACTAAAGGGCTGTCTAATAGAAGCCGTCGTAGAGACCAGCGGCCTAGCATACCGCCACCCCAGCCGCACCCACCGCCGCTACCACTGCTACCGCCACCCCGCCGCATCCCGTCTCGCTCAACCATCACGACAGACACATAACACTACACAAATCTCTTCAATATCTAATTTCACACTACACCATACGGTGATATCGAATTCAGTCTCACGCCGAACCGTACAATTATGCTCAATACTGGTAAGGCATCAGCGAAAGAAAGTGTTGATGAACAGGCAGGCAACAACAAGTATGTACTGCTGTACGTGCCTGTTTATTATGTAAAGTTTACAAGAAATAATCAAAATAACACAGAAAATATCATAATTTAATGTCACACATTACGAATAAACGACGACTAATTACACGATATGGAATTTGAGCAAATTGCAAAAGCAAAACGACATATTTTAAGGTACGATCAAAATAGCAATGGATGGCATATATTTATCAAAATAATATGCAGCATCAGACAACTACACAGTGCAACAAAGCAACACACAGCGACAGAGCCAGGGCATAGACAGGCAGGCTAACAGGTAACAGGCTTAATAACTGTCAGAAATTAGGCTTGCGTAAAAAATATCGATATATAAAGTATCAATATTTTCTTATAAATATCGATATTGTCGATTGTTTTTATCGCGATATATCAGTATTCGATATTTATTTTAGAGTATCAAATTTGCATGAATTTCGATATATTTAAAATAGTGTATTAATCCACAAAACATGAAAATACAAAAGAAGCTACAAAAGCATTCATGTGCCGTTGACATTTTTTTTCGACGCCATCCACCCAGTAAAATTAAAAGTAAAAGTAAAATTAAAAGTAGTAAAATTTTGGGCCTTATGCTACTACGCCATGCAATACGTAACAAAATATAGATATCTATCAAGCGATATAAATCAATACTGTTTCAAAATATCGATACGATATATATTGATATATTGTTACCACTTGCGCATCCCTATCAGAAATCAGTTCAGTGCTGCCAACATTTATTTTTGATTTGCCTACTGCAGTAAACTTAATTCCATGACTTTTCCCGTACTACGTACTATTTTAAACTTTATAACATACTATTTTAAAACATATGTTAAGTTTAACTGTTTCATTATATATGAGTATAATATGCAAACCTTACTTAGATATTGCTTAACTTAGTCAGACCCTATGGTCGAGCCAAAGAGTATAGTATCTTAGGACCGATAATATATTTTTTAAATGAAGGAAAATATAACTTATAGTTCATAAAAGATAGCTTGAGCTCTGCGACAGCTGTCAGTAAAATCACGCCTATGAAGTCCTGAATTTCTTAGTAGTACAGAAACGTAGACAGAGAAACCTATAGACTAACGATTAGCGTGGCCTCGAGTGAGAAAGGACGATAACGTAGTTTTAGGTTATACAATAATCTTTATGACTTTAAAACATATTTAGATAAAATTTTTAATTGTTCTAAGAACTAAACTGCACAAGATTCAACAATGTTAAGCTCACAAAACACTTTTTTTCACTTAAACGAACTTGTAAACTCCTTGGATCGCTACGAAAGTTGTTTAGCAACGTTGAGTTTGGTAAACAAAAAAACCAGCACGGAGAAAGGGACAAACAATCACACTGCTCTGTCTCATTTCTATACAAGACGTACGCATAAATCTATCTTTTTCGTGTGCGAATGCGAAAGAGGGCGTCAATTTGTCTATAGGTTTCTCTGTCTACGTACAGACAGTACCTGTCAATGTCATACTTTATGGGCATGCCGACCTAATTAGTGCATGCCCATAAAGTATGACATTGACAGGTACTGTCGCCGACCAAATGCCGACCTAATTAGTCGGCATGCCCATAAAGTATGACATTGACAGGTACTGTCTGTACGTAGACAGAGAAACCTATAGACAAATTGACGCCCTCTTTCGCATTCGCACACGATAAAGATAGATTTATGCATACGTCTTGTATAGAAATGAGATAGAGCAGTGTGATTGTTTGTCCCTTTCTCCGTGCTGGTTTTTTTGTTTACCAAACTAAACGTTGCTAAACAACTTTCGTAGCGATCCAAGGAGTTTACAAGTTCGTTTAAGTGAAAAAAAGTGTTTTGTGAGCTTAACATTGTTGAATCTTGTGCAGTTTAGTTCTTAGAACAATTAAAAATTTTATCTAAATATGTTTTAAAGTCATAAAGATTATTGTATAACCTAAAACTACGTTATCGTCCTTTCTCACTCGAGGCCACGCTAATCCTTAGTCTATGGGCCTTTTCAGTGCGACGCGGATGACCTACGCGGACGTCCGAGACGGACGGTAAAATGTATGAAACCTTACAGCGCGTTCAGAGCGACACGGAGCTGTCCGCGTCGCGGAGAGCTATCCGCGCGCGGTCGAAATCGCTCCGCGCCGCTCCTCCGCGCCGCGGATGTCCGCGGGCGGACGGTGCTTGGTTTTAATGTATTTGTTCAGTTCTCGGCGGACAGTTGCGCAGAGCGGACGTAAAGTACTGTCGTTGTCATGACGGCTGCGTCAAATGTGCAAACCGAGAGGGTTATACAAGAAGTACGACTTCGACCATGTCTTTGGAATCTCCGCGACAATTCATATAAAAATAAAGACGCGAAATTAAAGGCATGGAAAGATGTTTGCGAAGCTGTTTGTCCGAATTTCGGAGATAGTTCAGGTGAAGAAAAAAAACAAATCGGTAAGTAATGTTTATTGAAACATCTGTGTTATCTAATAAATATAACTATTTTGCCAAGGTACAGATCCTTCATTTGAGACAAAGTAATTTGCAAAATTATCTCTTATTGTATTGCCCGATCGTGTACTGTCATTAATGCGAGCATTGCAATCTGTAAATCCAGCTACAATCATAGCGTCTTCTTCCGTATAACCATCACGTACTCTAATGAAATTGTGTAAAATGCAGCACGCTTTGATTAAAATTTGTGCAAATGATGTTGATACATTGATAGATCTTTGGAATATTGCAAATTTGTTTGTCAATATACCAAAACTCGATTCTATGTATCGGCGTGCACGACTTAACCTGTAATTAAATATTTTTTTTTTGTGTGTCAAATTTGTACGCGCGTATGGGCGAAGTATAGTATTGGAAATTCCAAAAGCTGCGTCTCCTACAATGACATGTGGCTGTGGGTTGATAGATGTGCCTGGTAATAATTTTGGAGGTGGCAAATATAGATCATCTCGTTCAAGTCTATGAAATAACGAACTTTTCTTGAACACATTAGCGTCTGCTTCGCTGCCACAAGCCCCTACATTTACATAGGTAAAACAGTAATTGGCATCACACATTGCAAGTAAAATAATAGAATAAAATTGCTTATGGTTGAAAAATACGCATCCACTTTCTTTTGGGCACGTGATTCTGGTATGCTTTCTGTCAAGGGCGCCTACGCAATTGGGAAAATTGGCATCCCTTTCAAAGCCAAGTGCTATGTTATTCCAAAAATTTGGATCAGGTTCAGGCAGACATTCGTTTTTCAAAATTTCCCATATTAATGAGCATACTTCTTCAATAATGTATTTAATTGTAGATAGCCCCAATCGATAACTTAAATGCAAATCAGACATTCTTGACCCAGTAGTCAGGTACCTGCCACAAAAAAAAAAGTGTGTAATAAATAAGTAAAGTTACTAGCATATGTTGTTTTATTATTTATATTATTTAATTTACAGAAAAAGCTGTTCAGTTAAGATGGAAGACCGCCCGTGATGCATACATGAAGTGTAGAGCAAATCTTAAGACATCGAAGTCCGGTTCTGCAGGGGGTGTCAAAAAGAAGTATATTTTTTTCGATATAATGACGTTTTTGGAAGACACAAAGGACTTTGAACCCACACATGAAAGTATGGCTTTAACATCGTCGCAGACCTCCCAAAATGTTGCTTCAACGTCATCGCAAAACTCGCAAAGTATTTTACCTATTACCACGACCCCGAACTTGCCATCAACAGAAGAAACATTTCAGACACCTGTGCTGGCTTCTCCAAAACCGTGGCAGAGAAAAAAAAAGAGATGTATGACAGACTTTGAGTCACAATTATTGAAAATATTAGAAAAGAATGACACTTCCACCACAAACTTTGCGTCGTCTACGGCTCTTAAAGACGATGACTGCAGTTTTTTTAATTCTCTAGCACCCATTATAAACGATTTCGATAATTATAAAAAATTGTTATTCTGGAGCTAGCTATGGAAACTAGAGGTCCAGCTATGAACTCGCCCAGCACATCTGCATCAACCGCTACCAACGATTTACCTCACTTATCAGGGAGTGATGTGGACGAGTCTTTAGAAAGCTGGCAACACGGTGATTACACTGCATTGTAATTAATTACATAATTACATTTTAAATTGATTATATAATTTTTTTAATTAAAAAAATTGTTTCATTTATTTAACTTTTAAATTTAAGTACCTAGTTACCTAATTGTTACAGCCAATCTCTCCCGCGAACATATAGGTTTCTTGTATATATCGCAACGCATTAAAGGTGGCTCTAGTTTCGCATGCAACTCCTCAAATGTCCTAATGGACATCTTGAAATATTTGAAGAATTTCATTTCGTCATCCCGCAAGTCCGAAAACAAGGATACAAATTCTCCTTTAAGAAGTCTTTTCTCAACCAGTGGATGCACATTAAATCTTCTACTATGGCGTCTTCTTCTTCTGTTGTTTAATAAATAGGCCGCAATCACAAAATTCAAAGTTTTATCCATGACACTGTACCACTCTCGATCACGATCCGCATCGCACTGAACGACGAATTTATCCGCGACGGACGCAAAACCTCATCCGCGTGCGGACGGTCCGCGTCGCACTGAATAGGGCCTATAGGTTTCTCTGTCTACGTTTCTGTACTACTAAGAAATTCAGGACTTCATAGGCGTGATTTTACTGACAGCTGTCGCAGAGCTCAAGCTATCTTTTATGAACTATAAGTTATATTTTCCTTCATTTAAAAAATATATTATCGGTCCTAAGATACTATACTCTTTGGCTCGACCATAGGGTCTGACTAAGTTAAGCAATATCTAAGTAA